GGTCAAAACGGCTAGCAAATGATTTTTATGTAAGGTGGGTCAGTATGGTCAAGTAGTTTAAAAGAAAGAAATGCCTCAATCATGCATGTGCAAACATGTAAAATACAATCTCAATCAAGAAACATGTCAAGTTCTAGAGTGAAACCTTAAGTGAGGGATAAACACACAAGAAAAGAAACTTTTAGTGTTTGGGCCCAAATCCTCACTGCTTTTTATTTGTGATAAGAATTTATGCAATTCCAACATTCACTTCCAGCACAATCATTAAGTAGTGAAGAAGCCTTTTCAGTCAACCAAAATGCTTAGCAATGGCAATGAGGTCTTCATGTGCACTTATGCTATTTCAGATTATCGAGAATCCAATACTATGCTAGACAGTGCATTATAGTAACATGAGGACATGGAAATTCATCACAAACATCTCATAATAGTATCAGAATATACCCAAAGACATTGATCAAGGATAATTTCATAGATAAAGTATTCAATACCATCTCTTTTATCTTTTATAAAATACATTACCAACTAATCTGAATATTAAAATTAAGGGGAAAAAATCAATATTAAAAATACTTGTGAACATAAAAAGTAAACACTTGTTCCTTCCAATGAGAAAAGGTAGGGGAAGAGAAGCGAGTATTAGCAAAATTGGCACCACACAAGTTATTCCCAGTGCCAATAGGCTTTTTCCTATTATTTTTGCATGTCATATTTTTTAATGGACATTTTTAACCCTTGTACAGAGTTTCATAACAAAATCGTAATTTTGGAATGCCTGTATACATAGTTTCAAGAAAAGATAAATGTTTACTAACCAACCATGAATATGTAAGCTTGTCCAACAAATTTACTCCTAATGTCCTTGCCTTTGCCACCAAAAGGAAATTTTCTAACTTAGTGAAATTCTGAATTAACTAGCTACCAATGTCAAACAAAACACATGATTGTAATGCATGCCAAGGCCATGGAGACACATCAAGCACTCTAGCAGCATCTATAGTTCAAGATTTGAAGCAAATATATGACTTCAAGGAGCAATAAATCTATAAAAGCAAGAGTGAATTAATTCTTTAGCACCACCCCAAATTATAAAGTTAAGCATTAGATCAAAATTGTTGTATTTGATTCACCAGAAATGAAGGAAAAAGAGAACCTGATTTCCAAATGCTGAGAATCTGCATTGCCTCAATACAATCTAATCATGAACAGCAACAACAAACATACAGAAGCATGAATATTCAAGTGCATTGTGGTTTTCTTTGAAAAAGTCCTCCGTGATTATACACACACGATTACAAACCAAACAAAGTCAAATTAAAAGAGAAAAAAACCTGAGCTTTTGGATACATTCTGCAATAAAAACAACAAACTTATTTACATTTTCATCCATGTCTAGTTTCTTGAATCCGCTCATTGCTTTTGTCCTCTTTCTTTGGAACTCATCGCAGTCAGGGATCGAACACTTAGCGAAGAAAGAGAGAAGAAAATAAAATAATGCGGCAAGATTTATATTCTAAATTGAAATGACGCTTAGGCTTGGATAGCTAAGTAAAACAGAGAAAGAAAGAAAATCAAATTAACATTAAAGAACCTTCGCTCAATGTAGAGAGATGAGAAAGCTTTAGAATCCTTGCATTGTGCTGGTTAGGAGTTAGGAAAGAATAAGTTCTGCCATGCAAGATCCTCTTCCTGAGGTGTGGGGGTGAGTGGAGACAACCTCGTAGCTAGAGCAGCTGGGGAAAGAGAGAGAAAAATCCCTGCAAAAATTAGTGAGCCTCGGTTTTTTTCGATAAGGTAGTTAAATTTTAAAGATGGATGGAACTTATATAACACATCAAAATTTGTTATTTAATTGTTTAATTTGATTATTTTAATAATTTTTTTAACAAGAGCTATATTTTTAAACCTTCTACGAATTATATTTTATTATATTAAATTTTTTTATTTTATGTTTAAAATAATAATATTGTTTACAATATTTATTAAATAAATGTGATTTTAAATTATTATATTATAAAAACTTAAATTTTATTTATTGGTTGAACATTTTCTTTGCATGTACACACAAAAACAAAAATTAAGTTGATGTAATTTTAAAAACTTAAACTAATGTATACTTTAGTTAAAAATAAAATATACATTTATAATATACAATAATACATAATTTGAATTAAAATATAAAAATATTTATATAAATAATAAATCTAAATTATATCATAAAAATAATTTTTGTCAAAATTAAATTAATTTTTAATAATAACTTAAATTTTATAATATTTTTTATTTTCAATACAAAGTATAACTACTTTTATTTTTTATATTTACAAATTTATTAAAGTTTAAAATAATCATTCGATATCTATATTTATATTATATACAAAAATAAGAATTACAATATTATTATCAGTTAATTAAATTGTTAAAAATACAAGAATGTAGTTTTTTGCTACATTATTGTCTGGGCACAACTTCAATAAAATGTCAAAAAAAACAATTTAAAATTACCTTATTTTAGTAAAATATTAATAATTTAAAAATACAATTTTGAATAACATAATTTATATGACTAGCTAATGCACGCCCGATTTTTAATAACTTAAATTTTAAAAATCTAGATTGAAGAGTAATATATTATAACTACTAGTTCTTAATTTTAATTAATTATATATATATATTTTTTATTATCATGGCTCAGTGTAAGATAAGTTAGATTGTGTGTAGAATTTAAGGTAGATAAGCAAATTTATGTATTTGTATGTCAACAATCAAGCAAAATATACATTGAATTAGAAAAAAAATTTAGAAAATATAAAAGCTTCGTCATCTCGTAATACAACAAATATAGAATTTATGAAAAACAACATAAATTGACTTTTGTTAGATTTGTATATAAATTTTGTATAAAATAATATATAGAAAACTTAAATTAAAAATTATAAAAAAATATTATAATTTATAAATATATAGAACTTTAAATAATCATTTTTAATAAATTTTACATAAATATATGAAATAGATAAATTGTTTGTTCAAAAAAATTATAAAAAAATATATAATTGTTAATATGTATTTAAAATTTAATAATTAATAAATATTTACATAAATTAATAAATAAAAGTATAAATTAAACTTTTAATTATTATTCAACTTATAAATTTATATATAATATGTAAGCAGTATAGTTAATTTTACATATATTTATTAATTTATAATAATAAATTAATGAAGTAAATAAAATTAAGTATTTTATAATTATTTTATTTTTTAATTATATATATATATATATATATATATATTGCATTAAGTTTAAAATTTTATATTAAATTTTATTATAAATTTTCTCTTGAAATTAAAAGTTTAGAAACCCAAGTTATTTCAAAAGAAAAACAAATTCTATCAAATTAATATGAACTAAATTTTAAATTTGTAAATATTCATTATTTTTTACTTAAGTTTATAAGCTATTATTCTATATCTATAAATTTGTAATATAAGTATTTTATGTTTATAACTTTTATGATAATGAACTTTTATTTAGTTGACTCAATGCAATGTTGTTATTTTTTTCATACTTTATGTGTTTATTATGATTTTATTTTTTCAACATTCTTACACAAGTCAAATATGATTTCCACAAAAAAAATCTTTAATATTTTTAACAAGAAATAATAATAATAATAATAATAATAATAATAATAATAATATAAAATTTTTATATTTAATACTCAAATAATATTTTTTTAAAAGTAATAAAAATTATAAAATTATTTCTAAAATTATATAAACAAAAATTATTTACAATTATTTAATGATTATCAATAACATATAAAAATTAGAGAAATATGTAACTTAATTTGATAATAAGTTATTAATTTATTTAATATTATTTAATAACAACAATCATTATAAATATTTAATATCATACAAATTTATTTCTTTTTGATTTATTTGTCAATAAGTTTAGAATAAAAAATATGTTATATAAAATAAACATTTCTAATAGATTATTTTATAAAATAATATATAATTATCTAATAAAAATAGATAAAATATTTTTTTGAAAAAGTATTTAACGTATAAGTTAACTCTAATTTAATTAACTAGTAAAAAAATTTAGCTCTAATCCATGTAGGTTAAGAATAAATTAGTTAAGACTGACTCTTTTGACCATTCTAATTTTACAATAATATGTAATTAGATTTTTTTTAAAATAAAAAATAATAACCTTTAAATCTCACTTTGTATTGTTCATGCTTTTAACCTTCATCTCACATATACAAGGACTTTCATATTCTTTAGATTTTAAGAGAATGTTAGCTATATTTTAACTATTCCACATGTAATTTGTCCCCTTATTAGTTCTATATTGTTAGACAAGGTATTTGGATAGAAAAACAAATTAAGGAGAAGTTGTCACATTTTTAAGTTAGGTTGTTATTTTCTTAAATTATAATATATTAGTTCTTAAAACAAAATTGAAGAAAAAATATTAGTTATATTTACATAGTACTAAATGTTTATATTTTTATCCTTTATCTCTCCTAAATTAAAAACTTTCATGTGCTTCTAGGTTTTAAGAAGTCGCCAAATGTTAACTATTTTTTAAAATTTGGTTTAGATAATAAGATAAAATAGAAAATAAAGAATTAGAAAAGAGATATAATGATATTGATGGTTAGGAATTTAACTAAAATATTTTAAAGTTATAAAATTTATTTAAAAATTTTTAAACTAGGAAAACTTGATTGAAAATATAAAAAGAATAATAATAAATATATTAATTTAATCTTTAATTGTATAAATTAGTTTACAATTAAATAAGACTTTAGCATGATAAAAATATATGCAGACAATAAATTCAAATTAAACTCATTCTTTAAATATAGTTTTTCTAGGGGCATAATACGTAAAGTTTTTTCTTTTTCAATTAATATTATATTTTATAACCATCAAATAGATGAACGAGCAGGGGTATTATAGTCAGGGTGCATAAAAAATTTAAAACCCTAGCTATCCACACCACTCTCCTATTAACACAGTTTCTTCCTTCCTCAGACCTGTGCATTGCTTCTGTGCCGCTGCAAACTCTCTCTTCTGTTCCGCTTCCATCTCCGATGGTATGCATCTGCTTCTTCTCTCTCACGCGCTTCTCTTTCACTCTTCTAATTTTAACCCTTTCTTGTTTTCGATTGTTCGCAATAGGCTTCAGAGAAGAAACTGTCGAACCCCATGCGGGAAATCAAGGTTCAGAAGCTCGTGCTCAACATCTCCGTTGGTGAGAGTGGCGATCGTCTCACCAGAGCTGCAAAGGTGAATTTTTTTATCTTTTTATTTTTGCATTTGTTTGTATTTTATGTTTAGTTTTGGACCCCTTTTTTACAAACTTGATTTCTTTTGTTAAAGGTGTTGGAGCAGCTCAGTGGCCAAACCCCCGTGTTTTCCAAAGGTTTTTTTTCTTTTTTCTTTTTTCTTTTTCCTTATATATTTGGTTAATAGTGAAACTCTATTGCGATATTTGTTTCTATTACATTTTATTATTTTTAAAAATGTAATGTAGTTTTCTAATTTGTCAGTAGAGATATATGGTGTTTTGATGCATGGCTTTGCTTTTTTGTTTTTTCTAGTCTCTAGTTTCCTGTGTTTTAATCCTATGATGGAAAGGAGATCGAGTGTTAATGTAACTATATAGCATTCTTCTAACATTTCTGAACTGAAATATGTCTCTGTTTGAATTAACTTATTTTGAAGAAAAAATGTTTTTTTCTTCTGACAGATTTAAAGAAAAAGATAATTTTTCTTCAAAATAAACTGTAAACCAACAGGCATGATTTAGGTTCACTGGACTTCGAATTTTTGATTTATCTGTGTTTGCTGCTCCCCTCTGTAAATGTTTCAATTTGTTTAGCAGACATGCGGAAGTGGTGGTTTCTTGTGATTTATTTATCCATTGAAGTTAATGATGTATAATTTGTAAAATCTGTGAAAATGTAGAATAAATGGATGTATTAGAATATATTGTTAGTGCTGTTATGTGACTGCCGGGAACTCGAGCAATAGCTGTTCTGAATGCAAATGAAAAAGTAAAGGCTCTATTATTGAGTCATCAGCGGGGGTCTGTTCATTGGCCACCTGACTGCCTCTTGGAGCCAAAATGAAAATACCAGAAGAAGATCCTTGAAATACTTGGATTGATGCTTGAGAAGAAAGGTTTTTCATTTTTCCTAAAGCATGTAGTAATCCTCATGCTTAGTGCATGTTTGGGAAAAATGTTTTTTGGGGGAAATAATCACTTACTTTTCAAGAGCCCTCTTGGGAGGCTGCTTTGACCCTTTTGATTGTCATATTATATTTCCTCTGTGACCTTCTAATTTTGCTTGTTTGTTTTGTTTTTTACCGTTCACAACATTTTTGAAGATGATGGAATGTTTATTCAAAATGCATGTTAAACAAAAAAAATTTCTTCTGGTTGCAACTGGCTGTTCTGATTGTTTCTTGAATTTTTTGCTTGTTGACAGCGAGGTACACTGTCCGTTCTTTTGGTATTAGAAGAAATGAAAAGATTGCCTGCTATGTCACTGTCCGAGGTGACAAGGCAATGCAGCTTTTGGAGAGTGGATTAAAGGTGAAGGAATATGAGCTTCTGCGAAGAAACTTTAGCGATACTGGCTGTTTTGGATTTGGTATTCAGGAGCATATTGATTTGGGAATCAAGTAAGCAGGAAATTGCTTCTTTTTTTTGGTTAAAATAAATTTACATTTGTTATACTTATTTAGCAGTATGTGAATTTGTTATAAACTCGGGTAAAATTTTGCATACCTTTTTTCATATTTTTAATCCTTTGATGATTCTTCAAAGGAAAGTGGCTAATGCTATCAGGTATTGGAAATTTGGTTGTAGCATACTCCTAACTGTTTTGCTTCAGGTATGATCCTTCAACTGGTATCTATGGAATGGACTTCTATGTTGTTTTGGAGCGCCCTGGTTATCGTGTTGGACGCCGTCGTCGATGCAAGTCTCGTGTGGGGATCCAGCATCGGGTCACCAAGGAGGATGCAATGAAGTGGTTCCAGGTGAAATACGAAGGTGTGATCCTTAACAAGGCACAGACGATTGTTAGTTAAATTGGGACTAGTTTGAGGAGTTTACAAGTTTTGTTATTTTTAATTTGATGTTTCTTGAGATAGTAGCTTAAATTTCTGGGATATTAATGCGTTTGTCATATGATCTGTTATAAAGTATTTATTTCTGATCATTTATTTTTGACATCTATGTTAAAATCATGCTTTTGACAAGTATTCAATATTCTACATTTTGCTTTCATATTGCCATTTTCTGTTGGAAGAACACATTTAGTAATAACTTAGTTATTATTGTCCACTGCAATTCCCATCAATTTCTGGTCCTCTTATTAGGATGTTATTCTGAATATTAGTTAAGTATTTTTAGAAAGAAATGGGTAAACGGCTGTTTTTACTTGTAACCAAGGGAAATGAAGCTAATTGGAGGAGTAGTGAGAGACCAACTTGATACCGTTGGTTTTAGATTCAGAAAAATGATCCTTCGAAAGTTTCGGAATGGTTAAGAACAGAGATGAATCTGTCTCACGTTCAATCCAAACGTACTTCTACTTTACAAAGAAGGTCCAACTTTTTTTTGTCTTTTACAAAAAAAAAAAAAGAAGACCAAAAGCAATTTTTACAATTTTTTAAAAATATCATACTTTCTTCAAAGAATAAAAGATTAAAAAGTAAAATCTCTGTAGAAATTAATTGAAAGAGACCGTTTACTGTAAAATAAAAAGAAGCTCGTAAATGCTAGCTATGCATATGAATGTTTGCTGAGAAAGCCTTTTTAAAGCTTGTACTTGATTTCAAAGGTTCAAAGCCATAATATTCATCAACGTTAAGCTAATCAAATGCCAATACATTGACTAGAGTGTCAAATAAAGTGGTGCAGACATGCAAATCGAAGAAAATAACGTCGTTTGATCGCAACCAGCCAATTACTAGTTTTTATCAGTTTCGCCGATTTTGGACCGGTTTTTAGAACATCCAACTGGATCCATTGGACCGGACAGTGGACCAGTTCACCGGTCCAACCAGCCAGTTCGATCCAGTTTCGTGAACCATAGCATAATGAAATAAAATCTTGGCTACAAACCACGTTGGATTGCTATATATTATAAACATAGGTAGAATAATTTGATTGGGCATAATAACATGATGATGTTAAATAAAGAAAGACGTGATTTTTCATCGAACAATAAAATTATTATTCATTATAGGATCTACTAATTAAATTTGATAAAAATTATATCTTTTTAATAACAAAATTATATTATACTAATTATATCAATCTATTTAGAGAAAAAAGAAGAATTTTATTTTTATTTATCTGTCTCTATATTAAAGACACTATTAATTATTATTTTAATATCCATGTCCTTTTGTCCTTTTGTCCATTTAAAATATTTATAATAGTTAAGTATAACCATTAGTTTTAAGAAAATATGTACATTCTTTAGTGTCTACAATTTCTCTTCTACTCTAGACAAATAAGTAGGAACAAAGTATATATTACTAAAAAAAATTCATTATTTTAGATGGAACAAATATCATAAATCATGTATGAAAGCCGATGTGCCTAACATAAATTTGGAAAGTCCAAAAATCTTGTCAACTAATTTTTAGGGGGAGTGTAAAAAATTGTGTTTCTTAGTGTTATATTTTTAGAGTTTAAATTGTTTAGTCAGCAAAGTGTATTTATTTTGAAGATAAAGAGAACTTCAAATTATGACATCCTTTTTTTTTTGGGAGGTATGAATTGAGAGATTATACTATGCTCTCTTAAAGTGTGAAACATAATGCTATTAGTTGAGAAAATGTAATGATTTTTTCAAAAGATGGTGAAGGCTTGATGCTGAATGTGTTTAGGGTTTAAAGTTTATTATAAAAGATAAAAAAAAAAAAAATTCTATAATCCCAACTAGAAATCAATTAATTAACAAAAAAAAATTGATTGCTGAAAATATTATAGGATTAACCTTTAAAAGGGAATAAGAGAGAATTATTGAATAAGAAAAAGTAATGATCATTTATGTTTAAAATTCAATAGAGAGTATATATATATATATAGGTTTACTAACAAATTCTTAACAAAATGGAAGTTGATCATAACTAACTCATAACTATATAATTGTTTACACCCCTTACTAACTTATGGGTGATGAATCTTGAACCTTGAGTTTGGATCAACGTTGAGTGAAAAGAGTTGGAGGAAGTGCCTTGGTAAGAGAATCAGTATGAAGGAATATGATGAACTAAGAATTTCGTCTGTTGAATTTTCTTTCGAACAAAGTAAAGATTCAATTTAAAATGTTTAGTACAAGAATGAAAAATAAAATTAACAGCGCGTAGAACAATACTCAAATTATCATAATAAACAGTAGGAGGTTGAGACAAAGAAACATGAAGTTTAGTCAACAAGGATTGTAGCCAAGCTAATTCAGCTGTGACAACGGCTAAGCTGCAATATTCTGCTTCTGTGATAGACCTTGACACCATTGATTGCTTCTTTAAAGACTAGGAAATGAGATTATTACTAAGAAAAACACAAAATCCAGTAGTAGATTTATGATAATCTATATCTGCACCCCAATCAGCTTCACATGATATTGTTAACTTGAAATTAGTAGACTTAGTCAAAGTAAGACCATAAGAAGTGTTACTCATGCATCTGAGAGTTCTTTTGACTACCTGACAATGAGAAATCTTAGGAGAATGCATAAATTGACACACTTTATTTACTGCATAAGCAAGTTCTGGTTTAGTAATAGTCACGTGTTGCAAAGCTCTAACAATAGATCTATAAAGGGAAGGATTTTCAGCATCAATGGTATCAGTAGCAGTAAGCTTTAGACCAACAATCTTTAGTGTTCTCATTGATTTGGACCTTGCCATATTTTCCCTCTTAAGAAGATCAATGATATAGTTTATTTGAGTAAGCATGAGTGACTTCAATTCTCAAAAAGTAATGTAAATCATCAAGATCCTTTAAAGGAAATTGAGAATGTAGAGAATGAACCAAATTGTTAATAGCTTGAGAAGAACTACTAGTAATGATGATATCATCTACATACACGAAAATGAAGGTAGCATGATGAAAAGTGAATTGAATGAATAATAAAGAATCACACTTGGTAGATTGAAAACCAAGAGAGAACAAGAGCGTACTGTAGCTTTTGAAACCAAGCTCTACGAGCTTGTTTTAGGCCATAAAGAGCCTTGTGAAACTTGCAAACTAAATGAGAACCTCATTGAGTAAAACCTGGTGATTGTTGCATATACACCTCTTCAGTGAAATCACCATTAAGAAACACATTATTCACATCAATTTGTTTGATGGCGCTATTATTATTGAGCGCAAGAGACAAAAGAGTCTTGAGAGTGTTGGTTTAACAACATGACTAAATGTTTCAAAGAAATCAAAATCATCTCGTTGATGAAATCCTTTAGCAACAAGGCAAATTTTGTGCTTATTTAGACTTCCATCAACATTTTTTTACTTTAAACACCCTTTACATCATATGACAGTTCTGTCAAGTGAAATAGGGACTAAAGACCAAGTATTAGTCTTTTGGAGAACATCATATCCTTGTTGCATGAAATTTTTTCAATAATAAGAAGAAAGAGCAGCTTTGACTAACGCATGTTCATGAAAAAGAGCAACTGACTGAGCAGAACCAGTTGTAGCTGTATAGACCTTTGTAATGTAAATCATCATTACATGCTTCTAGTAATCGTTGAATAATTATTACATGTTGAAGTATGTGCAGATGTTATGTCAGTTGTTTGAAATTCAGAATTTGAGACGAAGTTTAATGTAGAATATGTAGAGGCTAGTAACTGTAATGAGACATGAAAAGCAGCATGTGATGATGATGACTCGCAATCATGTTCAGCAGGAGAACCAGACAAAGAGGACAAAGGAGAAAATCTGTTAGTACAAGAAATCACATGTATATATATGGCATAAAAGAAGTGAAGGAAGCAGAGGAACTGTGATTTCAGATGAAATAAGAAAATAAGAATTAATCTGGAAAGGAAATTTTTTTTGTCAAGAGTCTACCAGCAGGTGCTAAGCATAAGTAATCTTTATGTATGACATTATATCGCAATTGGAGGTTGTAACGATTCAGCAAGAACATTTTAAAAAATTATCTTTTAAGAATAAAAAATATTTTCTAAAAATTAAAAAAGTTGTCATTAAAGTTTATTTTAAAAATTTTTTAATATGATCTTTGAAATAAAAAATAAACTTGAAAGTTGTTTATATAAAAAAAGTATTAAAACTTTACAATGTACATTTAAAAAACAGTTATCTTAAATTAATTATACAAATTTTATTTTAATTTTAAAAAATATTTATGTAACTCCTAAATAATAAGTATTGTTGCTTTTACTTTTAAAGAAAAAATTATTTATTAAAATATTAATTAGTATATTGAGAAAATGAAAATTATTTTAAAAATAGTTTTAACTCGACAGATTCAGTTCTTGCCCCTACGTGTCCTAAGTGCAATGAAAAATTCAAAGTTACATAGCTTTATCATAAAAATTATAAAGTTAGTTGATTAAAATTAAGTTTAGTTAAAAAAAATTATTTTAAAATTAAAATTATTTTGATAAGATTATTACGTTTAGGATACAAGATAACATAGTTATACATGCATCCTCTAATAAACAATATAGAAAGCGAATGAAGATCACATAACTATATTGTAAATTATTAAAAAATATTTTTATTTATAAATAAAATATTAGAATTTATATTTGAATTATGATTCATATTAAAAGAGAATTTAAGACAATGTAAGTTATACATAAATTTTTTTATAATTTATTGGACAATCAAAGACAATATAAATTATACAATAATATTATAAAAAGTATAATAAAATGAAAAATAAAATTAAGTAATTGAGTGTTTAGTTATTTAATTTATCAAAGTTAGAAATATGACATAAGAAAATTTAAAATATAAAATTAATCTCATTTAATAAAAGAAATAAATACATTTAAATTGATTAAAGAAAATATTTATTTAATAAAAAATTAAAACTTAATTTGATAAATTTATATTGCATAGACTTACGATAACGTTAATACACAAAAGTCTTAACGATTTAAAATATATGAAGATAGAGAAACTATACAATAACACCATAAATTGTTACATTAATATAATGAAAATATTTTAATTAAATTAAATGAGTTATTTTTTTATAATAGAAAATAGAGAAATATTTTTAATTAGAT